CAAATGTGCAGAGTCATAGCATGGATGTGAGAAAATCTAAGAGTGCAGGCAGAAAGGGAGTACCGCCGTGTTTTCCTTCTTGTGTAGGTTTTGTGCTAAGTGCCAGCCCGTGTTGTGCAGGCTGCTGCTCTGCAGCTCTGCAACATGCTGCTCTTTGTAAGTTATTTTGATGAATGGCTGCAACTAGTCTTGAGGCAGACTTATTTACCGGGGAGGAGAAAGAGGGGGCTTGACATCTCTTTTTTTTTTTTTTTTTACAAGATCCCTTTTTTTCCGGTAGTTTTTCCTCTTTCTAATGAAGGGCAAAGAAAAGGGCTAATGACCAAGAAGTGACTAATGGTGAGCAGAGTGTGCAAAGGCTCTAATGGAAAATCAGAGACTTGAGACTGTGGCAGCCAGGTTTTGAGCAGAAGGAATGAAGGTGCTGAAAAGTTTTTATTTGAGTAGTGTTAGTCCCCGGTAAGGGGGGGGCGGGTTGAGCCTAAATGTCTGGCTAATCTCATTGTTCTGTAAATTACTTAGCCTCTAGTACAGTTCCTCAAAGAGAAGCAACAGAAAGTTGGTTTTGTTTTCCTATTTTTTATTTTGAATGCACTTTACAAGCTTTTTCCACATCTGAATAATTTCAGGAGTATTCTGTAAAAATTCTGGTTCACCGGCTAATTGGCGTTTTTTACCTCTGGTTGCTGTCACTTCAGAATTAGTACACAATACACAGGGAACCTGAATGAACCAAGTTGTTCGTTGAGAAAAGTGAACGCCGTTTTCCAGCGTGCCATTTATTTATTTAGGGAATGAAGATTGCTGCAGTGTTCTTCACGAAATCTACTATCGGTGGTAGAGAACAGCAGCACCGTAGGGCATTTTGATATTACCATATTAAAAACCAGCATTTCACAACCCACCCCTAGCCTGGTGTCTGAGCAGAAGTGATGGTGTCTTTCTGAGAATTAATTCCAAGAGGAGAATTAAATAAGCGCTCTCTCCGATTTTTGAGAGCAGTTGAAAAACCACCAGCTTTTCCTCCTTGTGGTCAATGGCGATTTCCACAGACTTGACACTCCCTGTTACTACATTAGCAACTCCTTGTAACGAGCTCAGCTGTAAGAAAGGAGCTTGCTTTGAGGGGGTTTGTTGTCATTGGATACCGCAGCGCTGATTTACATGACTGGGAAATGCTATTTTTACCGCCAGTCTGCTCCAGCCTCTGGCAATAACCAGCTATTTCAGCGCAGATCCTGCCTCCTGCCCCTCCACTTGGCATCTCTCTTGTCGCACAACCAAGCGCTGCCGTGGGTTTATTTCTGCCTCCCCAAATTGCTCGGTGGCACCGCTCGTCCCTAACCCCCCCTCGCTCGTTTGTGCTAAGAGCTGTTGTGCTGTCCTACTAGACCTTATCCCCCAATATCAACAAGGTGAGCATTTCACAGAATCACAGAATCTTAGTGGTTGGAAGGGACCTCCGAGATCATCAAGTCCATTTCCTGCCTTCCACGTCTCCCCAGCTTGGCTTTGGGCTATTTCAGGAAAGCCATCAGTTTATTTACTCCTAAATCCTGCTTTGCTGTGTAGGCAGCGCCGCACAGAACAGCCTCGCTCAGGTGGCTTTGCAGATCACAGGATCACATGGGGTTGGAAGGGACCTCTGGAGATCATCTCGTCCAACCCCCTGTCAAAGCAGGGCCACTCAGAGCAGGTTGCACAGGAACGTGTCCAGGTGGGTTTGGAATGTCTCCAGAGATGGAGACTCCACCACCTCTCTGGGCAGCCTCTTCCAGGGCTCTGCCACCCTCACAAGAAAGAAGTTCCTCCTCAAGTTTAGATGGAACTTCTTGTGTTAAAGTTTGTGCCCCTTACCCCTTGTCCTGTCACTGGGCACCACTGACCAGCCCCATCCTCTTGACACCCATCCTTTAAATACTGATAGTCTTTGATCAGATCCCCCCTCAGTCTTCTCTTCTCCAGATTAAAAAGACCCAAGTCCCTCAGCCTTTCCTCATAAGGGAGGTGCTCCAGGCCCCTCATCATCTTTGTAGCCCTACAAAAAGCCCAGATGTCAGGAAGATGGTAGCATAAAGGTGGTCTTCATGAGACAGGTAGGGAATTTTTTTGCTGCATGCAGCCTCCCTGTGCTGTGGTGTCCATCCCCAGGCCGTGTTGATGCTTCCTCTTGCAGCAAAGCCTCAGCCACGTTAACAGTGAATCATTTTTCTCTTGCACCCTGAAGCTGTTGCCGTGTCAGGTGGCTCCCTGGGAGACTCCCCCTGTTGCTGTGACCCCACAGATTCTCCATCACATGGTGTGCAGAGTCCTGCAAGGGAAGAAAGCTGAGGCTAGAGGGTTGCCCCCTTTGGTGTATTGGTAGCTTGGTAAAAATGAGCCTCACATCTTACAGGAAGGGACTGGCTTCATTCAGCAAATGATGGTTAGAGCAGAACAGTAGAAGAAGGGCTCAGGTGTGTTCTCCCCTTTTTCCTCTTCCTTCCCCACAACCAAGTGAAAACTCCATTTCTTTTAGGCAATAAAACCCTCCCTTTCTGTGCAGAGAGTGCTCTTTTCTCCTCTGGGGTAGGTAGGAGGTAGGTATCTGCCCAAGGCAGGTTGGGCATAGAATCATAGAATGGTTTGGGAACTTAAAGATGATCGAGTTCCAACTCCCTGCCCTGGGCAGGGACACCTCCCACCAGACCAGGTTGCTCAAAGCCCCATCCAGCCTGGCCTTGAACCCCTCCAGGGATGGGGCAGCCACAGCTTCTCTGGGCAACCTGTTCCAGTGTCTCATCAGCCTCACAGGAAAGAATTTCTTCCTAAGATCTAGTCTAAATTTCCCTCTTTCAGTTTAAAACCGTTACCCCTTGTCCTATCGCTCCACTCCCTAATACAGAGTCCCTCCCCATCTCTCCTGTAGCCCTTTCAGGTACTGGAAGGCCACTATAAAGTCTCCTTGGAGCCTTCTCTTCTCCAGCCTGAACAACCCCAACTCTCGCAGGCTGTTTGCACCGAGCACAACTGACACAGTGGGTTTAGCAGTTGTTTTCCTTCTCTGACAATTTATTTACATTTTTAGAGTGACCTTGGGTGGGGAATGCCTGCTCACTCAACCCCCACATCCCTGCTGGCGCTTACACACAGACACTCTCTTTGGAAGGTCCATAGGTTTATAGACCTGTTTTACACCCTCAGCACCTGCCCTGAGTTCCAGAAAGGCTCGTGTGATGGGGCAGCAGCATCTGATGCTCTTGGCCACCCTTCCCGTGTGGGGAGGGAGTGGGCTGCAGCCTTTGGCTTGCAATAAATAGCGTTGTGTACTTGTGTCCAAAATACAAATTGTGCTAGCTCCCTGCCGGAGTGTTTGAGAAACGAACATTAAGTCCTGCCCTGCTGCATGGGCCTGGCTGCATTTGATGAATTGGAGTCAGTGCTGGCAAAACCTAATTGCTCATAATGATGACAAACCACGCGCAGTGCTCCTACTGTGACCCACAAAGCTTTCGTCCGCTACCGCTTATCCATCTGCTTAAAAAAAGCTCTCCTGATAAAGTGCATGAACCTCAGAAATGGCCTTCAGGAGCTGGTTGGTCACATTTTGTTGAGGGCAGTGAAAAAAAAAAAAAACCTATAAAAAATTTGGTCTGTTTGAAGAACTTGCTTCTATTCCCTGGAGTTTCTCCTGATGTGGGGGAGCAGGAGCTGGACTGCAGGAGAAGGGGATGGCTCAGCAGCACAGCAAGATGAAAGTGAGGATGGCTATTGAAAGGAAATCTCAGCATTGCTCTTGATCTGTGTCCTTGATAAAAATCCCTAGTGATGTTCATCCTCACAGTAAGAGCTGCAGGCGTGTCGTTTCCCTTCTTTCTGTATTATTGGAAAATCTGGCTTTCTGGTTTGGGTTTTTTTTTTTTTGTTGGTTTTGCATTTTCTGCAATTTTCTGCGATTCTGCTGGGCTGGATTGCCTTGGTTTCCTGTGCACTGTACGACTTTGGTTTGTGGTCAGTGGTGGTCAGCACGTGGTGGTTGTGTGTACAGAGCACCGCCCAGGCGAGTACCCAAGCTGGGTGTTCTAAAATCTTGGAGACCTTGGTGGCCACAGGCTTTTGGAGCTGTGATGGCTGAGATGAGAGCACTGTGGTTTGTAGGTTAGAGAATCTTGGCCACCAGTGTGCCCAGGTGGCCAAGAAAGCCAATGGCATTCTGGCTTGTATTAGAAATAGTGTGACCAGCAGAAGTAGGGAGGTGATTGTGCCCCTGTACTCAGCACTGGTGAGGCCACACCTCGAGTATTGTGTCCAGTTTTGGGCACCTCAATACAAGAGAGATATCGAGGTGCTGGAGCGAGTGCAGAGGAGGGCAACGGAACTGGTGAAGGGCCTAGAAGACAAATCATATGAAGAGCGGCTGAAGGAGCTGGGGCTGTTTAGTATGAGGAAGAGGAGGCTGAGGGGAGACCTCATCACTCTCTACAACTACTTGAAAGGACACTGTAGAGAGGTTGGGGCTGGTCTCTTCTCACAGGTAATTAACAATAGAACGAGAGGGAATGGCTGCAAGCTCCAACAGGGTAGGTTTAGATTGAACATTAGGAAGGAATTTTTCACTGAAAGAGTGGTCGGGCATTGGAACAGGCTGCCCAGGGAGGTGGTGGAGTCACCATCCCTGGATGTGTTTAAGGGACGTTTAGATGCGGAACTGAGGGATATGGTGTAGGGGAGGACTTTGTAGAGTAGGGGAGATGGTTGGACTCAATGATCCCAAGGGTCTCTTCCAACCTCAATGATTCTATGATTCTATGATTCTATGAATTTGATCCTCCCTTCCGAGTACAGTGCTGCACGTCAGGAGAGCCCCAACCCACTGCTGAGTGTGAACCCTCGCTTTTGATCCTCCCTTCCGAGTACAGTGCTGCACGTAGGTGGGATGTAGGTGGGATCTTCTGGCATGGTGGGTCCAATCACAAGCCAAGCTCTCCATAAACGCTCTTCCCTTCTCTTCTCTCTTCCAGTGTCAAGATGGTGCTGATGTGGACCAGCGGGGACACCTTCAAGACCGTTTACTTCATCTTGAACCAGGCCCCCTTCCAGTTCTCCATCTGCGGGCTCCTGCAGGTTTTCGTGGACATGGCCATCCTGTTGCAGGTTTATTTGTACAGCTCCTACCCTCAGAAGCCCGTGTCCCACACCGCCCACCCGGCCAGCACCAAGGCCCTCTGAGGGACTGGGCTGGAGAGGCTGCAGGTCGGCGGGGTCAGCCATGGGCAGCTCTTCTCCTGCTCAGAAATACTCCTGCGTTACCGAGTCGAAAGCAGAAAGGAGAACCAAGGATTGAAAATCTGGCTGCTCTTCCAGCTCGGGAGGTTTTATTTTTAAATTACTCGCTCTCTCTGTTTTGAGACTGAGCTGTACAGAACTTGGTGGGGGGGTGGGGAGGGGGCACTTTATTTTTGCATATGTACCTATGAGCCTTATTGATTCACAAACGTTTGTATATTTAATCACAAGGGCTGGATGGTTTGTGTTTTTAATGCTATTTAAAAACGTTACACCCCAGAAACGATAGGATATTTTGTCTGAAACTTTTAACCTATTTATATAATATATATAAAGTCTGTATATTGGCAGGAAGTTTGCGGCATATGCCGGCATTCGGTACCTCCACCGCGCAGGAAGAAGTATTGGAAGAGAAGATGCAGGAGCTTGCTTTTTTCCTTTCTGAAGGGTCTCTGGTGAGCAGAGAAGGTGAGGGCAGGAGGTCCTGCAGGGAGGAGAGCAGCCAGAAAGGAACTGGTCACACATCAACGTGAAGCATCGATGTGGTAAAGAGGGAACGGCCGGTGCTCACCCCAGCCATGAGGTCCGTGTGGCAGGTGGATGCACCAAGAGGATGATGAAGAGGGGACAGAGTATGGACGATGCTGGAGCCATGTTCAGAGCAGGCACAGCCAGCCAAGCGGGTCAGCCAGAAGGAGGAGCAAACAGGCAGGTAATTTCCTGCTGAGCTTTGTAGTTTCAAAGCTGTGCTTTGAAAGGATGGGGTTTGAGAACAGCCCGCCCTGCGCTCGGGGGGCAGCACCGCTCCTGCTCCTCTGCACAGGACAGAGCTGGGCTGTGGGACATCTTTCCCAAACCAAAGGGGGCAACAGATGTGTGCTGGCAGTATTGCCAGGCAAGTATTTCCAGATGGTGATGGAGCCACAACCATAGAAGCGACTCCACTTCCATTGCCTCAGAAGGAGGAGCAGAAAAATTTGAGACAGAGAACAAGCCATATCCTATGGAGTGGGATGTGACAGCTTGGTTTGTTGAGGCTGAGCTCCAGGTTCGTGTTGTTTAATGCCAAACAAAACCCAGTTTATGCTTTGGGGTGCTGCTTGCTTTCACCCGGCGAGGAAGGAGCCCGCGTTTTCCTTTTTCTGTCGCTTAAGATCTTCTAGGTCCTTAGAAGAATCAGCAGCCTGTACTTAGAGGGACTGAGAAAGCTGAAAGAGCAGAGGGTTTATTGTTTATTTATAAATGTAGACGTTGTCTATGATGGCTGTTTGCCCGCGTGGGTCACCATACCCTTTCTGAGAACTGCCTGTGTCCAGCAGCTGCAGGTGGTGGTGTGGACCCACGGGGGGCTGCGACCGAGCCCCTGGGCTTCTGCCAGTCACCCTCATGAAACTGCCCTGGCTGGTGTGAGGCAACCACAGCAAGAGGCTTAGTCCCAGGAACAGCTCTGCCTGCGCCGCTGTCTTCTTCATCAGGCTCCCTCCCTGCTGCTGGCTGAATCCCACCCTGACCACAGGCACCGTGTTAGAGCTGGGACAGATTTTTTAAGAATCATTTTTTTTCTCCAAGAGCTTGTGTTTTCTTACCGATGGCAGCAAGTCTGAGGTTTAAGAATAACTTGGTAAACTGGTGGGTAAATCAGATACTTCCCCCATCCCTGTTCTACTTGGGAATCTCATGACTTGAGTCCTGGACTGTCTTCACTGGTGGCAACCCGTCCTCTGGAGGGGAAGCAGCAGGAGGCTGGAGCAGTGGTGGTGTGACTCTTGGTTGGAATGTCCATCATAAGCCCGGGGAGAGCGGGCTGTCCCCGTGCTGCTTTACAGACCTGACCCCTCTCACTCCCCAGGTGGCCCCAGGCTGATGTTGGGGCTCCCACTGCACGTGCCCTTTGGTTTGGGAGCAGACACGGTGGTGGCAGAGGGCTGAGGGCCAAACTTGTGGGTAGAAGTCCTGCCCTGGGTTCAAGCCATCCTGCCCTTCGGCAGGAGCACTTCCAGAGGTGGAAGGAAGGTCCTCAAGAAGTCCCTCCATGCCCTTCGTTCCATACCATACTCTTACAGGCCTGAAGTGACCTTACAAAGACGATGTACCCGGCATGGCAGACGATGAATGTTTTGTTCTTCTCTTTTCTCCGGTGTCCTGGTTGCGTTACAGGAACATCTGGGCTTTGGTCTTTTTTTTAATTGAAAACTTACTTAACAACTGGCTTCTCCGGTATGCTGCTTTAATGAGGATTGTATTTCTACTGTACGCAAACAAACACTTTCTTGTGTGTTTTAATGGTCTGAAGATTTTTTTTTTAAATACCTTGTAATGATAAGATTTTTGTATATGGTGGTCTTTTTCTAATATTCTACGAAACGGGGATTTAAGAAATAAATGGCTCTTAAGAAATATACTTCTGTATGTTACAGTTTCACCTGGGAGTGCACACTTTTGGCCACCTCTTTGGCTTTGAACTGCAGGTATTACCGAGGGTAAAACAACTGTTGTGGTATTTTTTTTTTCCTTTTGGGACTCTTCCCTGGGCAGATTCTCGAGTCTGCTGTCAGTACCCAAACCAGCCAGCTCTGCAGACCAGTCTCAGTCACACCAGAGCTGCAAACGCTGGGAGAGAAGCCAGTGAAACCATGTCTGAAGTTACCTTCTGTGCGTGGCATTGAGCAAGGTAGGACTCTTGGCCAGGAACTCTTCAACTTCCATCTTGCAAGATGCTTTAGAGACAAAATGTTACAGAACTTTGGTTTTTTTCTTCTTTAATTGTCAGGATGTATCTGTATCAATGATCACCTCAGAGAATAAGAAATCAATTCCTTCAAATCCATCTCTGAATGTATGGCACATTTCATGGAGTTTATTTTCTCTGTCAGTTGCAATGTTTTTGTTTTTGTTTTTTTAAATAAAAATTGCCTATTATCTATAAGTTGCAGTGTTGCTTTGTTTTGTTCGGAGGTAAGATGTGTGCTTCTTAACTCATGTTATAACTCCTCTCGTCTAGAGCACTGTCTGTAGGAATAATTAGGGTGGTTTTTCCTCCTGGTGGGTGGGTAAGCACAAGGCAGACATTGTCCTGACGTCACGATGGGATTCTGGATTTCTGTCCCCTGCTCTTCCTTACATCCTGGAGCTGAACTTGCCCTCGTGGCCACTGAACTCTTTTATGCTTGTGATGCTCACAGTAAAAATAAATTTATGTGGCAGATTATTACATAGCTTTGGAAAGAAACCAACCCTGTGTTGTGCAAAATGAGGTCAAAGACTGGAGACAGCTGAGGGATGTGCTCTTTGCAGCCGCTGCAGGGAAGATGAGGAGGCCGAGCCCATCATCTCATGGCCAACCACTGTGCCCAGAGGAGTCTTGACCTCCCTCCCTGTTGATTCAGGGTGTGAAAACAAGGTGAGACGGTGAGGAGAGAGGGCTGGGGGTGCAGGAGAGAGGGTCGGGAAGGGCAGGAGGAGAGAGGTGGGAGATGGAGCTTACTCAAGGAAGGGGCCGAAGGAAGAGGCTCCTGGAGGGGAGGGAATGAAAGAAAACCAAGAGCTGGAAGGGCAAAGGTAGGAAATCACTGAAGTGGGGGAAAAGGAGGAGGAAAAGGAGGGTGGGAAGTACAACCTGCCCGCTCTGTTACAGTCTGTGGGCAGTGGAGACCACAGAGGACAACGGCCCAAGCGGTTCCCACAACAGCTGAGCCTGCTCATCATCACTCATGGTGGTTGGACCACCCATCCCAAACAGGACTGGTGTTACTGGCACCTGCTGAGGGGAAGCTGATGGTGGGACGGGCCCCGAATGAAACAAGGGGGAGGTCTCATGTCCATCTCTGAAGGCTGCAGCACATCTTGGCATCTTGGCTGGTGCCAGGGCTGGCTCTCCCTCGGCCCTGCACTGGCATCGTGGCTCCATAGAGACGGATTGCATCATGAGGGGTTTGGGTGTATCTTCATACGTAGTTAGATGCAATGGAAATATTTTAAAGTCAAAAGGCAAAGCTGAAGTATTTTAAAGTCAAAAGGCAAAGCTGAAGTTCGGCACTGGGTAGCAAAGCAGAAGTTGGCCCACGGCTGCCGTTTGTTAAATGTGGTTGCGACCCTCAGCTTAGGCTTGAGCGCCAAGGAGGCTTCAAGGAGCTGACTGATGGCTGTGGCTTTGCTGGTGGCTTTCCATACCAGGAAGAAGAGGTTAATGTGTAAAAGTCAACACTACACCAGTAAATAACGGCGCTGCCCGGGTCCCTGCGCCAACAGCCATAAATAAGAGGCACGGCCTGGAACACAATGTGAGGCTCACCCCGGAGCAGACCTTCCTGTAGAGGTAGGTAGAGCTGTAGAGCAGCCAGGTCCCAAGGGGACATCAGCATCTGGAAATGCCCCAACAGCAAACACAGACAGACGTAGGGCTTCAGACCCCCACCCTGCCCCTTCTGTGTCCCACTTTTATGTGGAGTTGGCTCTCACAGGTGCTGGCTCTGCTGTGCTGGGAGACCGAGGGGCTTTGCTCAGCCTCAGGTGGGCCAGCAGAATCACGCTGGGTGTCTCCAGCCTCCATCCACCTCATTCCTCTTCCTCCCCAAGGCTTCATACTCTTCCAAGGCTGTAGCCTGTAGGCACCAAGCCCCATGAGAGCCAAGGGTGCTTTGAAGCCTCTCCTGTGAGGCTGCCATAGACCGTGCCCATCCTGGCCTCACCAGTGTGAGACAGCAACCTCTGCCTGGCTTACTGCTGAGGGGATGGTACCAGGGTCACCTTTTTTTCTTACAATTAGTGCTTTTTCTTAATTGAGGTTGCTACGAGGTAGGAGCTGGCTGTGCCCGTGCGCTGTGTCAGCAGGAGTTGGGTTTGACTTGGTGCCATTCCCTCTTAACTCTGTCCCTGTAGGAGTTACCACACCCTTAGCTCTAACGTAGTTAACGGTTTTCAGCTGATTCTCGTTGCCAGCTGCCCAAATTTGCATGCCCAGGCCCCCACCTGCTGCCACCAAGGCGGCCCTGTAGAAGAAGTGGCTTCTCTGTTCCAGTAGAGAGAAGAATTTTTCTTTTTCCTTGGGGCAAAACCCAATGTTCTTCCATCATGAAGCACTAGACTGTGTTTCAAAGGAACAGGTATAATTCCCTGCTGGGACACAGGCAGCAGTTAGTTGTTATAGATAGTGATTAAATGGCCTTAAATCTCGTGTGTAGTGACAGGACAAGGGGTAATGGTTTTAAACTGAAAGAGGGAAATTTAGAATAGATCTTGGGAAGAAATTCTTTGCTGTGAGGGTGGTGAGACACTGGAACAGGTTGCCCAGAGAAGCTGTGGCTGCCCCATCCCTGGAGGGGTTCAAGGCCAGGCTGGATGGGGCTTGGAGCAACCTGGTCTGGTGGGAGGTGTCCCTGCCCAGGGCAGGGGGGGGGAACTGGATGATCTTTAAGGTCCCTTCCAACTCTAACCATTCTATGAATAAGCATCACCCGTACCAGCAGCGACGCTGGGTGACACTCGCTCTCCTCTGGGTATGTTTTGTGTCTGGCAACGTGTGCATCGCAACTTTATACAGCTTCCAAAAATAATCCGTTTAAAAGGTTCCTCGTTTATATTTGTTTCCTCAATCTGTCATCTCAATAGACAAAATGAAACTTTATTAAAAGCCAGTCCTTGACTAACAGGCATAATGAGTGGGTTTTGTCACTTTATTAAAACTCGGCGCGTGCTGGAATTAATTACGGGCCTTTTGAAAAATATAAAGAACTCACTATTGTAGGACAATAGGAACTTGATGGAGCACAGCAATAATATGGTGTGTCTCATCACTCTGTTTTCCTTCACAGCTGCTGAGCTGCACTTAGCTGTCTCCTTGCTGGTTTTTTTTTTTTTTTTTCATGCCGCGGGGCCAAAAAGCAGCATTCATTCATGGTTATTTGCTAGAACTGCAAGTGTGAAACTCTCTTCATTCTGCAAGGGAACTGAGACTAAGGCATTGCTGCTGATCATCCATGGGCCCCACCACCTTGAGGAGAAGTATTCTCCACCCTCACCAGGTGGCTTTGAAGAGCACCTGGTGTGCATGAACCAAATCACCCTGAAAGGTGAACATGTGGGTCCACCTGGTGAACCTACTGGGTCCCACCTGGAGACTGAGTGCCTGAAAGCCACCATGAAATGTGGTGCTGCCCCTTAGCACCATGCATCCACACAGAGCTCACTTTGCTGTTTTGGGTGCCCCTGATGCCAATCCTTAATAAGCCTTAATGCAAGAAATGCCTGCATCAGGTTTGAAAAAAAAAAATAATAAAAATTAAAATTTTTCATGAGTCACAGCAACCCAGCGCTGGTGTGGCTTTGCCAGGAGTCTGAGTCAGCCCAGGCACCATCAACTGCTCCTTGGCCCTCCTTGCCTGGCATGAGGAGCAGATGGTGGTGGTGGGCTGTGAAGGGTGGGCAGACCCCCGGCACGTGTGATTCTGGTTGGCTTGTAGTTCCACACAGCTGGGGGTTTGGAGACTCTGATGTCACCTGCAGGGCTGGGGTGGGGTGGTGGGGCTCAGTTTTGCTGCCTCCACCTCTTGCAGCACACACCCGAGCCCAGTGGACAACCTGGCTGGAGCACCCGCAGCCATGGGCTTCATGTGGGCACGGCCAAACACCACCTCCTCCCACCCCACCCCACGCCCGAACCACCAGAGGCAAGCACTCAGCAACAAAGCTTCTAATTTTTATTAAAATAAAGTGTAGCCTTTTATTTTCCCCCTTGCTCCATTCCTACAAGGAATGGCTTAATACGGGCGCTTGCTAAGGGAGGGGTGGTGTTACAGCGTACGCCGAGGCAAAAAAATAAGACAACAAAAACTCAAAACTGGACAAATTCCACCTTTGATGCATCAGCTTTCGCTCCCTTTGTGGCAGGAGGAGGACACGGGGGGGTGACACTGCACGGCTTTAATACTAATGGGGGCACAGGTTGTGCTCCACAGAGCTCAGAGACATGGTTTAGTGATGGTTTTTGTATCAGAGTTAGGTTGATGGTTGGGCTAGATGATCCGAAAGGTCCCTTCCAACCCAGACAATTCTATAATTGCCCTCCACCCCTTGATTGTCTCCAACCCACAGGAGCACTGAAAGGCCCACAAAGCTGCTGCCTTGGACCAGCTCCTGTGGGGAAGCGGGATGGAGAGCTCACCAGGCTGGCATCAGTAAATAAACATGCTGACACCACCATATGACTCATTTTCCCTTTAAATTGACTTAAATCTCTGGAGAATTAGGAAGAAGAGCCAGAACAATAATGCTAATTTTTAGACGATAAGATTGGCTTAGTAGGGGGAAAAAAAAACAAACAACAACCAACCCAAAAAACTTACTCCTACCATAGAGCACAGCTGCTACAGAATCACAGACTCACAGAATGATGTGGGGTTGGAAGGGACCTCTGGAGATCATCTCGTCCAACCCCCCTGCCAAAGCAGGGCCACCCAGAGCAGGTTGCACAGGAAGGTGTCCAGGTGGGTTTGGAACGTCTCCAGAGAAGGAGACTGCAGCTGGGGCTGGAGCACACCATGAAGTGTCTCATTGACTTCAGCGGGTTTGGTTCGGTCTCCTGCTGGCACGGGACTGGAGTCACTGCCACCAAGGAAGAGTATGCAGGACTGGGAGCCACCACTGGTCCCACATCACCCTCCCCTTCGTGGGCTGCGTGTAGCTCTCAGGTTGAGCTGTCTGTCAAACACATTTTTGATACAGGAGGGACGGAAAGAGTTAACAGAAAGCAGAGAAACGGCGTGATTTGTAAAGACGTTTGTTATATTCAACTGATAGCAAAGGAAAAAAAAACCAAACAAACCACAAACCCAAACCCAAAGCCAAGTTAACGTTCGGTACCATAGTTTGGGAGATTGTCGATGTTCTGCGCCTGTCACGGGGCTAAGGTACAAAGCTTTGGGTGGTAAATAGGCAGATTTACTAAATAATGCACACTGCGCTAGCGCACAAGTCACAGCTGGCGGCCCGGGCTGCGCTGCCTGCTCTGTGCAACAGACAGACCCCGGGGAAGCTGCAGGGATCCTTCTGCCCTTCTCCTGCCCTCACGCCTTGGCTCCTCTGAGGTTTCGTGTTCCTTGGTGGAGGGGCTGAAGCAAACCCCCTGCGCCTACGGGGGGGGTCGCAGGTGGACCCAGCAGGGAAGGAGGTGCTAACCTGGCTGCTCCACCAAATGGTACCCCCAGGGAGGAGGTGGCACCCTGGCTGCTCCACCAAATGGCACCCCCAAGGAGGGTGGTGGCACCCCAGCACAGGCTGTGCTTCACGTTACCTTCTCCTGGCTGGCTCCATTCGGTGGCTGCTCCTTGGAGTTGGCCAAAAACACCTGTTGAAGACAAAAGCCCTATGAAAAGCGATGGAGCAGAGCTGTTACTTGGTAGAGATTCTAGGGGCGCTTTTCCGAGGGCCCTCAAGATCAGAAGCTGGTCTTTAGCCACAACCTTGTGTGTGTCAGCCCCTCGTTTCTGCAGTTCAGGAGGTGCTGCTTGAAGAACTGACCCCCTCCCCACCCCGACCTTGTCCACTGCTTCTTGTGCCGGCAACGTACGTCTTCAGCCGTTCAGAGTCAACAACTTCTCTTGGCTTCCTGGTCCTCCTGCCCAGCAGCGTCTGGTGGGAATGTGAGGCCGAGCCCCTGTGCACTGTCCCCATCCAGGATTTTGGACCTCTCCTCCATCTGGCGTATCTGCCTGCTGGCCGCTCGCTGCTGCTGCTCCTTCAGCTCGCTGTAGGAACGGGAGAAGGTGTGAAAGATGGAGGTGACGGGGAAAGCCATCAGCAAAATCCCACTCAAGATACTGCTCAGGGCTACCACCTGTCCGGGGATGCTGCGGGGCACCATGTCTCCGTAGCCAACTGTTGTCATGGAGATGACGGCCCACCAGTAGCTGGTGGGGACGCTGGTGAACTCCTGCTTGGCCCCCAGCTCGCTCTCCGCCAGGTACACCAGGGGTGAGAAGAGGGCCATGGCCACGCAGAGGAAGAGCAAGAGGAGCCCAAACTCCCGGGTGCAGCGGCGGACGGTGAGCCCCAGGGTCTGCAGCCCCAGCGAGTGCCGCGCCAGACGCATCACGTAGAGGATGCGCAGGGCCCGCAGGAAGCGCAGCACCAGCCCCACGCGCTCCAGGTACTTGTTCCCAGCTCCCCCCACCCCCGGCTTGCCCCCGTTCTTGGGGGAGACCGTGTCCACCAGGAGGGAGATGTAGAAAGGCAAGATGGCCAGGATGTCGATGATGTTGAGTGGGGTCCTCAGGAAAGCGCACTTGTTCTCCGCCTGGATGGACCGCAGCAGGAACTCGAAGGAGAACCAGGCCACGCACACCGTCTCCAGCACAAAGATGTCGTAGCACTTCCGCGAGCATTCGCCCTGGGAGAGGGGGGAGGAGGGAAGAGGAAAGGGGAAACACAGAAAAAGGGGGAAGAAAAAGATTTAGCCAGGGAGAGAAGCAGAGAAACAGAGGGAGAAGCAGCTCTTCCAGGAAAGCACGACGTGGGATCGACAGGAATCGCAAGGTGCCGAAGTAAAATCGTCGTTTCTAAGAGCAGCTGGAAGGGATAACTAAAACCAGAGCTACTAATGTAGCTGTAGACTAAACTGTAGACTAAAAACTCTTGGAATGGCATGTTTGGCTGCAGGACAGGCCAAGGATGCTCAGGAGTATCCCGAGGCTCCCAGGTGTCTGGTGTGACGGTACCAGCTGTTGGCCAGAAAGCCCACTGCTGTGGGCTACCACCTCATTTCTAACCAAGCCCTTAACGCCCTTTAGAAAAGATTACTGCAGGATTCATGGAGTTTAATAAATGGGTGAAGTCTCTCTCCCTTCCTGATCAATAATACATTGTTTATAAATGGCTCATAAACACCTACAGCATTTTACGTTATGTGCTCAGAGTCACCTATAATCTGTTATTCGCAGAATATAGAATATTTTTTATACTCCAGCGAACATTCATTAACACAACAGTCCTACAGTCAAAAGCTTACATAAAGTACCGACAAATGTAGGTATTTCTAAAAGAAAAAGTGCCACAAGAATAGAGGGAGGGTCCGGAGAGAGAAGCATTTTCAATTACCTCACCTGTAACCACTAATGACCACGATGCCCTCCCCAAGCTTTCCCAGGCACTGGAAGAGGGGCTCTTCCCCACAGGCTCATGTAGCAGAAAATAAAGAGAACTCTGGTTTTTTAGTTACAGTGCCTGTAAACAAGCCAGCCTTGGCGCATTGGAACAGCAATAAACAATAATGCTGCTGATGGGCTGCTCTTTTGAGTGGTAATTCAACAGTACAAACACTTATGGCAATTCTCCGCTACATCACCGTGAGCAACTCCAGCTGAATAATAATCAGCTTCTCCAAATAAACAGATTTTGACGTGGACAATTATAGGGCTTAGCGCTGTTTCCTCTGTAAATGCTCATATAAAAGTGTTAATGCTCCGGGGGCTTGGAGTGGAAGGCAAATGTATATTTATTTAAGGGAAGTGTATATTTATTCTGTGAGCCACTTCACTCCCAACAGTTGCTGGAAACTCTTGTAAGTATGTAGGAGTCCATCCGTGGTAGTGGGGTGTGTGACTCCCACTGGATGCAACAGGTATTAGGTACCAATGGAAAAAAAAACCTAATTTTTCCTCGCCTCTGCTAAATTATAGCAATAAAGTCTCTCTAAAGAGTGGCGAGGCTGTGTCAAGCTGCTCTCTGCTTCACCACTGGAGAAGCTGAGAACCTGGCACATCTATAAATAGTTCTGCCCACGTGCTCCCCACAGGTGTCCTGTGCTAGGCAGAGCCAAGGAAATTTTTACTGCACAGCACCGCATCCTAACTTCATCCTTTCCTAGGTGTTTACTTCCCCAGTGTGAAAAAAATACCAAACCATACCAAAAATATGAGACCTTTGCCTTCTTCACTAACTGCAGCGTTCCCCAAAACGTGGGGGAGTGACTGAATAGATGTTTCAAGGCAGGAAGAGCAGTGTCATCACGTTGACCATAAAGCCTTGTGTTACCTCGGTGTGATAACCAAAACGCCGAGGCACCCTCCCCGTTCCACGTTTGAGAAGAGATTGAGACAATGACTAAAGAGATGTCAACAGGGGAAAAAAAAAAAGGAACAAACAAACGTGAAAAGGAATCCTCAGAGCTGGTGTTTACGGTCCTTGTATTAAACACGACAAAAGGCTGTAGTGATTTGTATTTATATATATATATTTTTTTTGTATTCCGCTTTCAATTGGCATATGAGGTACCTCCCACTGTTTCCCAGGGGGTCACACTGATAAGGAGAGAAAAACTCCCTGTCCCATTGAAATTGCTGTCAAGATTTCAAGTATATTGCAGCAAGAAAAGATAATCTCGTTTTACTAGTTTAGCAGCTCAGATAGCCCGTCTTTAACGTCCTGATTTTGATAGGTGTGAAGACTAGAAGGAGCTTAATTTATCACAGAATCACCGGATCTTCATGGTTGGAAGTGACCTTTGAGATCATTGAGTCCAACCATAAAAAAAACCACCCAAAACCAAACACAAAACCCACACAACACCAAGACAAAAAAACCAACACTCCATCACCACAACAACCACCACACCCAACAATCTCACCGACTAGAGCATGCCCTGAAGAGCCATGTCTACACGTTTCTTACATACCTCCAGGGATGGTGACTCCACCACCTCCCTGGGCAGGCTGTTCCAGTGCCTGATCACTCTCTCAGGGAAGTCATTCTTCCTAAGATCTAATCTAAACCTCCCCTGTCCCAACTTCAGACCATTTCCTCTGGTCCTGTCATTATTCACTTGGGAGAAGAGGCCAACACCCACCTCTCTGCAACCTTCTTTACATCTGCTTCACCAAACTAATTTGGTCATAAATAAATATTTTTGTCAGAGGCCAAAATATTCTGGTTTTAGGGGTCTCGCTCCCATCGCAACATCATTAGGCTGTCAGGCTCTCCCATCAGACCCAGAACCAAGATGCTCTCACAACACTGCACAGAACTGGCTCCGTGGGCCAGAAGCCAAAGCTCCCAAAGTCAGTGGAAGGACTCTGCCTGTGCCACTCTAACTTCTCTCCTTGTTACCAAGATCACGGCCATCGGACCAATATTGCCCCAGAGCCCTGCTGCTTGGGAGTCTCCCATCAGGATATGCTCGGTCTCACACCTAAGGGCCATGGCTGCAGGTGATTTGCAGCTCCTGATCCTATCCCTGCACAAAAGGATCAGGCTGAGACCTTAGGAAGCCGACCTACAGAAGAATAGCTGTGGCTTGAGCAGCAACGGCAAGTAGGGAAAAAAAGCCCAAGGTGCAAATTTGCCTTCTCTTCAAGGTGCATCACTACTTGGACCACCATGTATGAAAACTAAGATATAGCTTGCCTTAGAAGACCTATATGGCAGGAAGCATTCTGGATTCTGATGTGAATGCCTATAATTTCCATGCCACTAAAAGTTTAAGGAAAGTCAGTGAAGCCTATGGAGAATTTAGCCTTGGAATAGACCTACAAAGACAGAATGATGTCTGTCTACAAGCCTTTAATGGCTTATTTGGCACCTAGCTGCCCCAGTGCTCTCTATTTGATGCATAAGGAAAGGAAACCCTCCAAAGCCCTTCCACGTATGAGTTTTGGTGTGGGAGCAAAATTGTTGCTCGTTAATGGACTACCAGCGGTGACGACTTTCGGAAGACTCTTATCTGCCCTCCCATACCCTGACACGTTTATCCTGTGTAGGTTCACAAACCTACAGCTCTGCTCCTTTACCTCTCCAGTCTTCCTGCAGATCCACATCAAAAAGGCAAGCGCAGGAGCAGCCTGGCAACCTTCACTCAACTGAGCATGAGAGGCTCAGCGGTACCTGGAGCTCAGGTCATCCAACATGGGCAGAACCAAGCTGGCACCTTTGCCCATAGAATCATAGAATGGTTTGGGTTGGAAGGGACCTTGAAGATCGTCTAGTTCCAACCTCCCTGCCATGGGCAGGGACACCTCCCACCACACCAGGTTGCTCCAAGCCCCATCCAGCCTGGCCTTGAACCCCTCCAGGGATGGGGCAGCCATGACCTCCCTGAAATGAAGATCTGTAACCGTTCCCCATCCAGAGCTGATGCTGGGCTCTGGCTTTCCTCTGCTCTTCCCACTACCCACAGCTGACAGCTAACATGGTGAAATGCCGAAATATTTGCTCTCAGAAGAGTGGAGCGATAATGCCCTGCTGCACAGAGTTCATTTTAATGGGATGAAACAATCCCCCTCTCTTCGCTAATGCATAATTACCTTCAGCAAAGTGCTGGTCTCTCTCACTATCGTTATTAACCTATTGCAATCAGAGCACGCCAGGGTCTGTCCGAAGGCTGTCCGGAAAATAAGAGGGTCTGAACAGGCTTTTAGGAAACAGACCCGTGTGTCAATTAACTTGCCATAGGCCTTTTTTTCACTCATTAAATGTCTCTCTCTCCCCTGGACCATGTTTCAGTATCATCTAGGTACGACCTATTATTATCCTCACATGAAATAAAACCCACTAACAGCAAAACCGTGTTTCATGCTCTTTGCTTCTTTCAGCTGCAGCTGCTTTTCATTGCAGTTTTTTCCCCCCCCTTGATTACAGAATTGTAAAAAAAAAAAAGCCAATTTTTCTCTTTCTGAAACTTTTAACTACGTATTCGAGTCCAACCAGATGCTGTAAATATGCTTATGGTTTTGAGGTTTTTTTCCATTCAAGAAAACAAAAAAAAACCGCACAGAAAGACACGCACATATGGAAAAAAAGCAATCAGGAATTAATCAGCCATTGGAATAAGATAAAACAAATCCTAACAGAACAGGACAGCATCCTCCTCCAAACAGGTCCATATCAAATTTCTACATTCTCCAAAAAGACCAAGCTATAAAAACTCATGGCCGTAAACATGCACATTAACAACTAAATACCACTTTTTAACTTTTTGTAAGCAAAACAGCTAGCTCTCACACTAACTAACCAGATTTCCTCATCTTGTCATTGAATGGATACATCTTTATGATTACATTTTCATATCTAGCTTTATGAAACTGGGCCACAGGAAAACGTCTTTTTTTTTTTCTTTTAATTTTCATAAGAATTTGATTTCTTTTTGTCTTTTAGAGGCCCAAACTAAAACCAGCATGAATGGCAATCACAAAGGACATCCCTTTTCTAGTATTAAGACTAACATTCTTTTTTTTTTTTTAATGTGCATATAATCATGCCATTAAAGAAACAATATATTGAGCTTTTGACTACAAAAAGCAGCAGCATAATAAAAATATATTGACACAGATGTTCTTTACAAGATGTATATACTTGTGTGTGTGAGTACATGTGTTTCTTTCAAACAGCAAGTAGATA